CCACCTGGGAGGATCTCAGTAGATGACCTTGGGAAAAGGCATCTTTATTCATGTATTCTAAATGTGTCTAGAAACTGAGTACTTACTGGGGCTCTGCTATACCAGACCGAGGTGTTCTGCAGCAACTGGGTCAGAGAAAAATGCATTTAGTCCAGCGTTCTGTTTATACCAACCAGCTTTCATAGGTGGAGTGTCTCTGGCACTGCTCATGTTTCTGTGATTACTGTCTCCTTCTGCTGCAGGTTTACGGAACCATTCAGCTCACGGCAGTAGAACAAGGACCCCCGTCTCTTCTCCGAAGCAAAGCAGGAAATTATGATTTAATCGCTGGATCTTGAGTAATAACCCATGCTAAGTTGGAAGGAAGATGTATTTGCTCTTTCTCTAGGCAAATTCTGATTAGCGTCGACAATTCTGTGCACTTAAATCTTGGGCGTAAGAGTGACCAGACACTGTTGGACTGTCCTTTAAATAGGCATATATAAATGGCACTGCAGATTGGCCATCTGTAGCTCAGTTTTAATTTACTCTACAGATACTGACAGTGTTCCCCTCTCTCTTTTTCTGTACAAGGATCCTGTTTCTTTTTTCATTTTTCTTCCAGAGCTTTACAAGAATCAACTTAACTCATTTATGCATAGTGAGACTATAAATAGTCCCCTGACATTACTTACTGGACGCATATCCACATGCTTGACTGAAGCTAATTCAATAAAAAGCATTATTGTCTGTGTATCTCTTGCCTCGTCTGTATCATCATCAAAACAATTAGGTGTGAGCCAGGCTGCCTTGTGAGCATTCTGCAATCAGAGCGTAATTGGCACCAATTTCCTTCACAGCCTTTTTATCTGCAACTTGTTTTTCAACTTGCTCATCAGTACTGGGGCAAAAACTAATGAAAACAGAAGCAACTTGCGATATTTCACATAGTGCTGCTGGAGCTTGAATACGTTTTAAATGAAGATGGGCCAGGATGCAGAAAAAGAGGTGAGGGTTGGGCAATGCAACATACATTGTTCTTTTTTTAAAACAAAATAAAAGTTATGAATTCTGAAGAGCACGTCAGAAAGCCTGTTCACTGAGAGGGCCCATCGTGTAGTGGTAGAATGAACAGCATGCATGCCAAACATTACCATGCATGTGGGTGGCATCTACTCAGAAGGATTAAAGATCAGCTAGTAGTTGATGCAGAAGGCTTCGTCTGAGAGCACGATGTCTGTCTGAGCCTTCAGTCATGCTGCCATTTTCTATATCAAGCCATAGTTCTAGAAAGCAAGATTTATCACTTTTTAGGCTTCTGGTTTTCCAGTACAGAGCAGGAGCTGATGTGACTGCTTATCTTGTAACACCAGTCCATTAACTTGTATTCTATTAACATCTGGATGTGGTGCAAACTCAAATGAGGGCTACAAGCAGACTGGAACAAAAGCCCGAAAGGAGGAGCATGAATTGCTCAGCTCACATCTCACTTGTCAGCCATTGTCCTTGCAGTCTGTATTCAGTTATCAGTTGGCATGAGTGCAGCAACAGCCAGTTAGATGAAAAACAGAGAGCCTTAGTATCATCATAACAGCATATTAAGATAGCAAACTCCACGCATCAGTACAATATCCATGGAAGCAAGAATTTCAGGGTAAAAGAGCAGTGCCTGTCTGTGCCTGCAGCCATCTTTTTGAGTATTCGTTTGAGTTGCATACCCAGCGGCCTCTGTAATATGTATTTGGGGATGTTTAGAAGACTTTTCCCCTGGCAAGAAGGGTGTCAGACAGCTCTGCATTCCAAATCAAGGGCAGGTGAGGGCTGCTCATGCCAACTAACTCCTAACCAGTTACCGTATTTTTCGCTCCATAAGACGCACCTTTCCATAAGACGCACCAATTCTTAGGATAAGAAAAGAGGAAAATATAATCTGTTTTCTTTGTTGCACTCATGCCAACTAACTGCTAACCAGTTAGTTATCAGACAGTGTTCAGTTTTTACCCGAGCTTCAATATTTAATCACTCGGATCAAGCAGTTGATCTTAATCTGCCTGACTGATCAAACAGAAAAAGGTGCCTCCTATTCATGAGAGTTCTTAAAGACAGCATTCAGTTTTTACCAAGCTTCAATATTTAATCACTCAGATCAAGCAGTTGATCTTAATCTGCCTGACTGCTCAAAAAGAAAAAAGGTGCCTCCTATTTATGAGAGTTCTTAATCTTAACATATTGATGTTATTTATTGATGTTATTGATTGATTGATTGATTGATTGATTGATTGATTGATTGATTTGATTTGATTTGATTTGATTTGATTTGATTTGATTTGATTTGTACCCCACCCATCTGGACCAATGTAAGTGCAAACTGTTATAACATTGGTTGTTGTGGGGTTTTCTGGCTCTTGTTATAACATTGCAGGAGGCAAATGCTTCGGAGAGACTTCAGCTTCTCTGATACACGGGACAGAACATTCCTTTTTTTTTATTTGGGGCTCAAACGAATCAGCAAAAATGTAACTCAGGTCCAGTAGACAGAGGGGTGTACTTCAGATGCAGGGGGCCAAGGAGATCATACTGTTTGTCTCTCAGCCACAAGATGGGGATAAAAGCAACTTAAACCACAATATATTTTAGAGTGTGACTACACGAAGATTTGTTCTGCGCTTGGACCACTCTGGGGCCAGCCCAGTTTGCTCCTTTCCCTGGCAACCACATGACATACATGCTAGTGTGAACCTGTCAGTTACCAACACATTGCTACCTGCACCTTTTTCCCCTCTCTCTCGGGGCTACTCTTTTCTTAAGTGGAGGTGGGATCAATCCTGTTTGTGGATGTCTGATTGCTTTTGATTTTGCATCCATTTTCAGTTTCCCAATATTTGTTAAGTGGTTGAGGCAAACCATTTAGCCACTTAATAATAATTGGGAATTGAAAACTTCCTCCACTCCATCATGGAGAGGGAGGAAGAACAAGTTGTGTTTTTTTAAGCCTAGTTGGGACTAAGATTGATTGGCTGATTGATTTTTACCGCTCCTTTCACCTAAAAAGGGACCCAAGGTGGCTTATATCATTACAATAACAATAAAGCTAGCAATAGTAAATTATTCAAATATTTTAAAAGAATTTAATACATTATGCCTTTAAGAGAGAAAAATTAAAAGTTGAAAACTTACTCCCAGAAGGAGGAGGTGACAAGGAAAGGGAGTTTTTCCTTTGTTTTTCTTCCATTTTATTTCTCTTTAAAGGGAGGCAGGCCAACTAGGGGCGCTTGAGGTGTATATACTACATGGATTCAAGGATTGCACCAAATGGTATACTGGCCCCGTACACAATCTTGAGCAACGCCATTTAGCCCAGTCCAGTTTAGCTGTCTAATCAAGACCTTATTATTAAAAGAAAGGGAAGAGAGAATGCAAGGCACAAGTGCTGATTAATAGCTTAGGGCAAAAGTAAGAATAAAGTATAGCGTGACCAGAGCATGCATATAAGAGGCCTGTGAATTAAAGCCCATAGTTACAGAAAGATCTATGAAAATGTGTTTTCCCCAGTTATGAAGACTAGAAGAGCCATTTTTTTAAAAAAAAAAAGCTAAGATTTCAGGGTGAAGGGGTTGCCTTCTGCATTTGCAAGAAATCTGCAGCCACATGGAATACACTTGAGCTTTCTCATGTGGATGTTCTGTGAGCCCTAGAAGGTGAGAGGTATGCAACTGTGGTGTGTTGGAAAAAGAGGATTTATGTCCACTGTGAGACTTCTAATTTTATGGAGTGGAAAAGCAAGTAAGTTAACCATTCTCTGCATTTTTCTTTTGTTTTGTTTTCAAGATAGGCCTCAGATTCTTTGGCTGTTACCATGAAGAGAAGGGCAACAGACTGGTAATGCTTATAGAAGGGCATGTTTACAATTGGCAGCCCAGAGGTCATGCCACACATGCCTGAGAGAACTGTTTGCATGATGGTGATTCGAGAAAACAAACACGGGAGCGTTGCTCATGAGCAAAATCAAAATCAAGTTTGGAATGTGCTGGTCAAGGCAACAATCACATGTAATACTGAAAGAGGCAATGCAGATGACGTGAAATACAAGGAAAAGTCAGGTAAGGAACCCAAATCTGGCACAGGGTTTCATACCACTGGATTCTGAAAGGCAGGCTCAGCTCATGGACTGAGCCCCTCCCTCCAAATACAGGGAGGCATTGACTGTTCATGGTCATAACGCAAGTAGTTGTGGCCAAAAGGTCTAAGAATCCTCTCCATCCAAATAAACAAGAAGGGTTCTGAGCTTTTCCCTATCTAAACTTGTGTTTAGATCTTAGAATTGCAAAGTGCTCCATTGTGCTTCTAAAGAGATCCCTTTGAATCCTCCCATACTTCATTTCTTCTGTCCGGATCTTGTGGAAGACAGTGTGTTGAGTTGAGTGTGGTAGGCTTGCGTGATACTTAATGACCAATAAACGTGTACTATGAACGTCATGTCTCTCTTGTCCCAGTGACTCTAGAGATATCTGTCTGGACTCTTGGACAAGATCTATGCACTGAAGATGTGGCTTGTCCGGTTACATCATCTCTCAGGAACCACTGAAGGTCTTCCGTGTCTACCAAGGAACTGTGATGTTGACACAACGCTAACCCTATTGAAGGAGAACAATTGTGTAAAGTAGCGATGTTATGGTGGCTAGGACAACTGGGGGTTGTGTCCAGCAACATCTGGAGGGCCAAATGTCTCCCTTGCCTTTTTCAGAACTTTGTGTCTATTGCTTATTTATTTAAATGATTATTTAAAATATTTTTACCCCACCTTTCTCCTTAAAAGGCTTACATCAATAAAGTGTTCTAACTACTAGTTACATTGTTTGTTATTCAAAAAGTAACTAGTTACAGCCACATTATTTGCAGTTGGTTACTTCCAAGCACTGGTCTGGAGATGGAACTGTGTTGGTTACATAGGTGAAAAATGCTAAGAAAAATGCTAAGAAGAAAAAGAGGGACAGGGAGAGACATAATGTTTTAAACAGGTCTTATTTATTGGTGGTGTTGGGGAAAATATTGATTTATCTACTTATTAATTAGAAATTTAAAACCATTCTAAAGATAGCAATAAAGCCATACTTCTGCATGTCAGCTGGTTTCTGTTTGTCTTGTAGCAGCCGATAACAATAGTGTTTCATTTATTCTTTAAATTAAAGTGAAGGCTGAGGCAGGTGTGAAATGGTAGCCTCAAAACTCATATGAATAATATATATGAATGAAATAATATCTCTCAGGTCACAACAAAAGTCTGTCTATTTCTCTCTCTTCACTCTTCTGACCCATTCAGCTCGTTGCTCCGGTGGTGTGCCTGCAGGTGCTCCTTGAAACATTTTTAAAGGAATAAAAAAGGCCCAATTTCCCACAGAAACTGGGTTTAAATAACAACTATTTAGGACACAAAAATGCATGCAGGTTTTTGAGATTTCTGAGCAACTCCACTACGCAACACACGAGGCGTTTGCGTGGTGGGAAGAAAGGACAGAACTGATGCTCCAAAACATGACATCGTGAGGTGAAATGAGGAAAGCAGGTTCTGCAGACATTCAAACAAGGCTCTCTAGCAGGTGTTGTCAATTTTCTTGTTTTCTCCTGAAGTAACACTAGGGAGGCTGGGAGCAAGGAAAGCAGGAAGGTTTTTACCCTCCCTTTCTGTAAATGCCAAATCCAGCTGCAAATTTAAGTACGGTTGATTTTAAAAAATGGTCAATTACAATGTTACTTAGATCCTTATCCCGGGAACTTTGTGTCAATAAGGTTTTCAGGGCAACGAAGAGAGAAGGAGCGGCAATTTTTCTGCTGGAAGGTAAGGTGAGTCAAGGGGGGGGGGGGTTGGCTGCAGGAAGGAGTCTGCTGAGGCAGAAAAATGATTCAGGTCCTTTTGAGGTGCCACAAATGTACAGTATAAGTTTTTTTTTCTCAAAAACACTCTGAAGGAATTCATTTGGAAACATTCTTCCCACCACCTCCAGATTGCAAGGTGAGAAAGAGATGGTGATTCATCTTTAATTGCATGTGTAGTTTGGAGAGAGAGAGAGAAAAAAGTGTGCATTAGAATGGGTGGGGTGGAGTTTTGTTATCCTCTTTGTCTTAACCCCTTAGGCAATTCCCATAAAATTTAGCAAGGCTGCATTCTTATACTGATTTAACCTGGGTGGAAGCACAACTCAACTGAGTGGGACTTAATTCCTGGTAGACCTCCACATGATTCTTCTCACAACTATGGTACAAATTTTTAATTTCTACCTTGCACTGGTGAAGTTCCATGAGACACAGCAGGGCTCAGAAAAATTCCTCTTTTCTTAACTATGACTTGCAGCCATACATGGCCATATGTTTTCCTTCAGCTGCTAGGAATTAGGAACTTCTGCAGAGTTACATCGTGGGGGTTTCTGGATTGTTAAGCATGGGGGAGAGGTCAGCTCCCCATTTTCCAAAAATGAAGTAAATGAGGCCACAGCAAAGAATCTGAGCAGAAGCTTGAATCTAGAAGCATAGCAATGGTGCAAAAGAGCAAATAGATCAGGAGAAATCCACTTTCATCCTAACACAGAAACCCTCATTCAAAGTTTAGCTAGAAAAACCAACAGCCTGCAGGTGTATTTGCATTGTTACAGTCCCAGTATTTTTTGCATCGTTTGTTCCACACAGTTACAGGAACCAGCAGTTATAGCAATAAATGGGATCTTAAAATCAAAATTACTTAAGGCCAGTCCTCTGACCTTTAAAGGGGAAAAGCTGTGAGGTCAGAGACAAAGGAACGTTTTCTGAATAGTTTTTTTTATCCCAGAGCTATAATTGCACTTAATAATGAACTTAAAGACCACCAGCAGTGAACAGTTGGACAGTGTTACCTAGCTTGCGGTGTAGATGTTTGTGTTCTTAGTGGGGAATTTTTAGTGGGTGGGGAGTGTTTGGGGATTTGTGTGTGTGTGTGCGCACGCGTGTGGGTCTGGTCTCTGGGTGTCTATGTGAATTTCGTTGTATGGGTATACTATGTATATACTTACAATGACAATTAAATTATTTGTTTGAAAGTAAAGAGGGATGGGTTAGTGTTTAAATTAAAAAGGCAGAATACACAGAACATATCCTGATGATGAAAGGGGTAAGAAAATATTTCACACAAAAGATTGGAACAGCTATGCAGCTATTAATTACAGTAGTAACTTCATAATCCTCTTCCTTTCTCCTTCTGCTTCCTTCGAGGAACTCAGCTATATAACGTTCTACCCCCTTCCCAATTTATGCTGTTATTGTTATTAACTACACTTTTTAATCTGGTCCCCTGGAAGCCCAGGAAGTAAAAGCAGTGATGACCCATGTAAAACAACAAAACCTGTTTTCAAATAACAATATAGTTAAAATGTTGACCTAAAGAGAACCATACCATAAAAGCCAGAGGAGGAGGAGAAGGAAAATGTTCACCTGTACCTGAAAAAGCATGGACCAGCTTCGCTGGATGAAGGATGCTCCACCTTTGAGATGCCGGTTGCCCCCTAGCCTTCCTCTTCTTTTGGCAGTGATGCTGATAGCAGGGCTGGAAAAGGAGGACAGATTTTGGGGTGGTTAGATTTGGGAGAAGGGGGCCTTTCAGGAAACGGGGCCCCATTCTGCTTATTAAAGTGTGAACAAGTTGGTCCCAGTGCTTGAACAGACCTATAAGTAGGCAGTTGAGCAGTTTTGTGATGCAATGCCGTGACACTGCCCAGTCATAATCCTGTATTAGTGTCATCCTAACAACAATGCAAGGTAGTTTAGGACCAGCTATGATTGGCCCAAGATCATTTCAGTGAGCATTTGACTCTCTGGTCCTAGAGATGGAGGGAGAAGGGGGTGTCAAGCAAGTGTTGTGGAGACCCCTGTGTTCACAGGGTCAAAACTCTGGGACTTTCTGAGCTCTAGAGAGGATGGCATCATCTTCTACCACCACATGACCTTAGCCTTTCCTCCTCCTTCTGAGCTTAGCTATAAACTTCACAATACACTGAGAGAGAAATGGATTTTCCAAGGAGCAGGATATTGTTGCAAACAATACCTGCTGTAATCCAAGTAGATGAGCATGGTTTTGTTCTTGACAGCAATTAAGAGCCATTAACTGTACAAAAGACATGCTTCTCGATGGTTATCCATCAGCTCAGCAGTTCGAATGTATGAATTCTCCGTATGATGAATTTATATTTACCCCTATATTTACCACTATACCACTAGGTGTATACCCCTTGATCTTCCTCCTTCCACAGGTATTAAAATTGCAAAAGTATGATAAAAGTTTTCTTTGTACTTAGTCTACATGATTGGTTATTCTTGGAGTATACTTTCCTCTTTATTATGAGAGATTTTTTAAAAATATATATATATATATTGAATGTGGGGGAGTACAGGTAATCTGGATTAAGTCTAAAATATGTCCCACTCCTTGCTATACTGAAATAAGAACATTCAGTTCTGTCCCTGAAAAAAGAGATAGTGACACACGTTATACTTTTTGGGATATGGAACACATACCTCAATATTTGAGTGCTACATCAGAAAGTGGACTAAGTTATATTTCCCCTTCAGTAAAATGAACACAGAAACATAAAACCTTCTTTAAATAATCATTTCAAGCAACAACCATGAAATAAGTAGAATTAAATATTTACAGGGAAAGCGAAAGAACACAGTACATTAAAAAATATATAGATAGATTGGTGCAATGGGTGGAGAACTCAAGCAGTGTGTTGAAAGGAAGGGAGTCCATTTTGTTGCCTGTGCAGAAAGGAAGGGAGGCCATGTTGTTTAGTGTGTAGAAAGGAAGTGGTGCCATTTTGTTGAGTGTGTAGAAAAGGGTGCCATTTTGTTGCCTTTGTAGAGAGGAATGGGGTCCATCTTGGTGAGTGTGTAAAAAGGAGGGGGAACATTTTGCTGCCTGTGTAGAAAGGGGTGCCATTTTGTTCGCTATATGCTGCTGAAGTAGATTTGCAGGTATGTATTACAGAAAGCTTTTAAATACAGTACTGCTCATTAGTTTGTGAAAATAAATCTGTTTCTGAACCCATTTCCCCCCCAAAAAAAATTGTTTATATTTATACAGATCCCTGTGGTTTTTTTGTCACAACAATAAACGGGGGGACGGATTTTAAACCATATAAATTGCTCTAATATTGATCAGTCGGTCAGTTATAATAATGTTTTTCTCCCCTAAGGAATTTTGTGTTTATGTTTTTGTTTTTCATAAAGTCAGGGTATAAGTACTGGATCCCTTTTGGGGGTTACCAGTGTTTTTTGTTTTGTTTTAAGCTGTTTTATTTTTTAATTGTATGACTTTCCTTTTCTGCGCGTGTACTAGTTTATTCTTAGCTAACTTGGGCCTTTTTTGTGGGAGATAAAGGGAAATTTAATGCAAATAAACAAAGAAAGAGGTGTGGCCTGCTTACTGAAGAGAAAGGGCAGAGAGAGCTGTGTAGGAAAAGGGAGTGGAGTATGTTGAACATTTTGTTACAATTTTTTTCCTGTTATGCCATTATTTATTTATTTTTAAATACAGTGGTGATCGAAGGAGACATGTAGAGGCAGCAATGGAAAAAGTCAGTTTTAAAGTCCTTTACTGTTGCTGCCCTTACATTTCCAACCGCCGGACATAAATGGTTTGCAAGGTTTATTTTAAAGAAGGAAGGAAAAATGGGTGAAGGAGAAGGCAGATGGCCTTTCTGGATTGGGGTTTGGGAGTCTTCTCCCCACCAACTTAAGAAAACCCACTGGGTGAGCTTGAGCGACAGCCTTTCCCTCTCTTGCCTGCCCTACCTCACAAGACTGTTGTGAGGTCTTGAGCTCACTGGAGGAAGGGCAAGATAAACATGCCCTTAGTACAACAAAGAAATGGGGTGTGTGCTTTGAAACGGATTTATGTAATGTTATAATTTTTACCCCGCCCTCCCTCCAAGGAGTTCAGAGTGGCATGCTCTCGTCTTGCAACCATATATCTCTACCAGGTAGACTAGAATAAATAATATTGATGAGCCAATGGTCATGCCGCTATGCAGGTGCGACAAAATTTGGAAAGCTTGTTGGGTTTAAGTTATTTGCTATAATCACAGAACTGGTAGAAATAATTTTTTTTCCAAAAAATTCATATTAGGGGAATACATATTGAGTTTTCCTGATACTCACCCAAAAATTGCAGTGTTGTCGTTGTTCGAATTCTTGAGCTGACCCCATCAGAGAAAAGAGAGACGCAAGTTGTTTGTACTGCTAGAAATGTAAACATTCTCTCCGAGAAGGTTGAAACGTTGTTGTAAACTTTTATCCAGGTTTTTCAATTCTGCTTTGATATTTCTTTAGATGGGGGGAAAGTCTGTATGTTTTTCTGATCTGAGCAAGTTGCACAGGTGTACACGGATATGATGAAGAAGATAAGACATTTTTTTCCCTATGTGAAATGTCTGGTATCTGGAGATAAGACAATGTGTCCTCCTTTAGTTCCCTCACAAGAATGTAGTATTTCTGTTGATCGATATTTCTTGCCGACAAAGTGAGCGATTTAATTCTAATTTAGTTTTGAATGGATTTATATTGGGCAATTTGGGTCCCCTCTTTTTGTGGATGACAACAGGTATGCTATAGACATGTACCTTTAAGCAAGGAAGCCAGCCAAGACAGAGGTACACTGAGGCCATTTCTCTGGCAATTTTGAAATGATAATCACCTTGTTTGAACTTCGACTTAGCATTGAGAGTGAGAACAATTTACCTGCAAGTGCTTTCGTTGTTCTTTGGTGTCCTATAAAATGATGCTAAGAGAGTTCATCAGATTCTTGAATAGTACGTACTGTAGATTGATCTGTTTAGTTAAAGCTAGCATTGATCTAATTCAGTGGTTCCCAGCCTTTGGTCTCCAGATGTTCTTGGAAAAAAATCCCCATAAGCCTTCACCATCATTGTAAGAGTTGTAGTCCAAGAACATCTGGTAGCCCAAGGTTGTGACATACCACATGAGCAGACTGAAAATATTACAGTGGTACCCAATGCTCCCTCTGTTTTCCAGTCCCTCTGGGCAAGGCTCCACCCCTTGTGTGCATGACTCCGCCCCATGTGCAACTCTACCGTCCCATACATTGGACTCCACACATACCCCACAGGGTTCCAGCCATGACCAGTACCAAAGGGGCTGGAAACACTGGCTGTGGGCTGTGCAACTCTACCGTCCCACACATTGGACTCCACACATACCCCACAGGGCTGCAGCCATGACCAGAACCAAAGGGGCTGGAAACACTGGCTGTGGGTACGCACAGTCATGAGCTTAGAAGGAATGTAGGTGGTGTCTTCTTATGGTAACTTTTATTCTAATTTTTTCTACTTACTGTCTCTTAGGAGCATAGTTTTGCAATACTTAACTAGCTTTAACTCAGGTAGCCAGAAACCACCCTCTTCTTTTTTTTATCACAGAACCATGCCTGAGTTTGCCCAAAGTTGTTGCCCCTTAATTTGAATTTTGCAACTGCCAGTGGTTTCAGGAATGCAAGATGTTCATTGATCGTAAGATTTGGTATAGGCATACTCTCTTTTGAACAGTTACAATACTCCCTGCGGTTTGTTATGCTTTATTTAGGCACTTCTTCTAAGGTGCCCAGCTCATGTTTCTGGGACCAGAATTTTATTCCTCTCTGCTTAGACTGTTTCCTTGCCTTTTATGCTCATATGGGACTGTGTTTTTGCTTATTCGGGCAAAACACATTGCTAAAGGTTCTTAGAAGGCTTCCATTCCTAGTACAGGTTTTGCATCACAACACCTACAAAAACCAGTTCACACAGCTGCTTTTCTGTGCTTTTGTGGAGCTAATAATCATTACTGCAAGTGCTAATGCCAAACCCTTTCTAAGGACTACTCTATCATAATTTCCAGGAAGCTCACAGTGAGTCTTCAGGACTCGCATGCTTTATCTGATTTTAAAATGGGCCTAACTGAGTCTTTTCTCTGAGACTCCAGTTTGGTGTTCCATGTGAGCCTGTAAAATTCTATGACCCAGCAAAAGCAGCAATGCAGTCTCAGGCCAAATACTGTAGCTTCGTTGAAAAGGGTAAAGGAAAAGTGCATCAGCTAAACTCAATGCAATAGCAATACAAACATTTTGGCTTTCATTTCTTGTCATTTATACCAGTGGTTCCCAACTTTGGATAACCCAGGTGTTCTTGGACTGCAACTCCCAGAAATCCTGGTCAGCACAGCAAGTGGTGAAGTCTTCTGGAAGTTGCAGTCTGAGAACACCTTGGTTACCCAAGGTTGGGAACCACTGATTTATACAATGGATACAGGTTGATGCTCTGGCCAAATACAGCTGGCTTTTTCTGCTACTGGTTCCAAAGGCAGTTATGTTTTCTCCGAAGTGTAGATGAGGTGTGTATTGAAATAAATAGATGTGACTCATTTCTTATATGTCGATAGAAAATGTGGAGCCACTCTCCCCACTCAACCATTTTCAATTTAACATTTTTTTAAGACCCAGAATTTAAGGATGAATTTTCAGAAGATTCACAAGAAAGAAGGAGGGGGGGAAGCATACCTTGGGTGCAATGAGCTTCACAAGAAAGAAGGGGGGAAGCATACCTTGGGTGCAATGAGCTTTAGTTTGTTCTGGTATAAAAACTGCCTAAAAATAAAACTTTGTTGTGAAGTGTGGAGGAGAGGATTGAAAGCCTAGGATTTCAGACTTGAGTAGTAAAATAAAGCAAAACCAGTTGGACTGGTCTGACTGTTAACAACTTACATACTATAAGTTGATGTTAGAAGGTGCTTGACAAAATTTTCAAGGTGGAAAAATGGTCATTACTGGTATCCTCACTGTTAGCCATTAATCATGGTTCTTGATTACGTTTCCATGTTGAGCCCAGTGTTGGGTTTCACTTGATTTCAAATTGGAATGCTGCCTTTACATCAAAGAGCAAGATAGATCTACACGTTCTTGAATGCGTAATCTTTCATACCTGGCGAATGGCATAAATCATTTGCAGGAAAGGCTTTTGCAGGGAACAAGCTTTGCCTACCCATCTTGCCAGATGAAGTAGTTGTCTTGAGAGAGACACTTAAGGTTTTGTAATTGAAGTCCACAAAGTTATATTGCCATGGTGTACCATAATAAGTGATGATTCACGACTACCCTTTAGCTTCCTTCCAGTTCCAACTCATGAAAACTCCAGAACACCTCACTATTGTAAGGTAACAATGAACAACAAAATCCAACCACCCACCACATTGACTCAGTTGGTTAAAGGCAGGGAAACCAAAAGTAGCTGGTTGTCTCTTCCGCTCCTCTTGCACCATCAGCCATAGAAACTGGTGTGCCTTAGCAATGCCAGCCCCATAGATTTAGTTCCTGGGAACACCCTTGCATCCATCCATTTCCCTTTTGACTGTGCTTTGTCCAAGGGAGGCAATTGGAAAGGGAGGAGATGGGTTAATCTTGCAAATGCAAATTATTCCTTTACAAAAAAACTCTTTGAAGGAACAAGAAACATGTACATATATGTATAAATCTAGCTGTGTTTTATCTTTCCAAACTGTATTCTGTGTGATCTGATTAGAGGTGTGTTCTTCTTGCGTGTTTCATGTAGAGCCATGGCCCTTTCACAACATTCTCAGATAATCAATAGAAGACTGCTTGTAACAAAGAGGGAGATTCTGTAAAAACAGGGGTTTTTATTATGAAATTGTGCTTACAAAGTGCAGCTCTAAGTGACATACATCTGATCTCACAGTTGGATTGCCACAGATGACATAATAATAATAAACATATTTTTAAAGAAACTCAGTGCAGGTTACATTATTATTAAAACAAACACATGGTTTCTTTAATTCTATTTACAAGAAGATTTACTTCCCCTGAACTTTGTACACTTAACAATAAAGGACTGGGTATTATAAAAATAGATAGCGTTCAGGTTGGTAGCCTTTTACAGTACATTTCAGATCCACTTCATGTCTTTTGGTCCTGGTTTCTTTGTTCTGACAAAAAGCTTTGCTGTTGGTTCATATTGCACGGGCAGGACCTTCAAGCAGCAGCAGCCAGAGGAGACAACTGAGTTGCGCTCTCCGGCATGGGAAAACGAGGAGTGTGATACAGACACTCAGTAATACATATTTTTATCCCACCAACCTGTAACAGAAGAAAAGAAAATTAAATAAATAAACAACTATTTCTGAAAGTTTTGCCTGTCAAGTGTTCTCAGTCTGGATCCTCTTGGTCAGCTGCACTATTCAGTATTTACAGCCCATGAATATGTGAAAAAGATAACAGGGTACCCCTTCTCTCCTCTTATAGTAGCATGCAAAGACTAGAGCTGGTTTTCCTGCATGCATCTATATGCAGTGCTTCAAAACTGGCTGTGAGCACATTTTGCCTCTACTGAGCTCTGTTTAAGAAGCTGTCTTATATAGAGTCTGACTACTGGTCATCTAGCTCAGACTCCTTATTTTTGACTGGAACTGGTGGTCTAGGGGTTCAGCAGGATTTTTCCCTAACCCTATCTGAAGATCCCATGTGCTCTTTGGGTGTCTTCCCATCCAGGGCCAGACCCTGCTTAGCTTTCAAAATCCAATAAGGCCAAGGTATGTTCAGGCTGACATATATTGGATCATGTATCCTAAGCCTAATTGGCCTTTCTTCCCAAGTACCATCGATGCTGGAAAAGTGTGGCAAGGTCTTCCAGACTCTTAAGTAACAAACCAATGTAGGCTGCCGTGTTCTTTCCAAATCATTATATCACATCTTAAAATAATACCTGAAGCCTAATTTGTTAGTGCCAAGCATAACCTCTGATCTGAAGAGACCTTCCGTGCCTTTTGTTTTAACAAGGTGAATGCTATCTGTAATAATCAGCTGGAGTTCAGTGTCCATAGATATTCTGAGTGCAAATGTGTAGTGTTAAATTACTTACTTCCTGGGTACCGCCTGATGAACAGCTTACGAATTTCATCATAGACCCATATCAAGAAGGCAAAAGGCATAGCAACAAACCAATACTGGACCCTAGAAAAGAGATAGTCAAACCATCAAATGCCATTCTAAAAATACCTTTGGAGTTCAATGAACTGTCTAGCACAGCAACTGATGGCCTTGTGTGCTTCAAGGATTTGGGCCCTTTTCCTTTTGCCCTCAAACCATAATGGATTGTGCTCGTACAGCTGCAGTCAGTTTAAATATATTTATTTACAGTTGATTTGGCTCTATACAAGGAAAAAAAACTCAAAAAACCACCACCCCCCACTGTGGCCAAACCCTCTGTGTATTTCTTTTGGAGGAGTCATTTTAAAGGCAAGAGAGAATTGACACTGACTTAACATGGCAATAAAAAAGGCTTGAAGGGTATTCTGTAAAAAGAAAAGGGGTTATTTCTTTTCCTTTTTTATCTTTTAGTCTGGAGAGCTTAGCTCAGCATGACATTCCAATAACAATAACTACCTGATTTTGTTCTCTGTTTAATAATAATTTATAATATTGTTGCTCCAAAGTCTATGATTTGAGGTTCTGTTTCTAAGTCAAGAACTGCAGCACTTTCTTTGAGCATGCCTCTCATCACTGCTATATAGAAATTGACATCAACACCTTGCAGGGGCAGGGAAAGGTGGGACTCACCGGAGGGGTGTGAAGTTCAAGGCATTTACACTTCCAAGGCCATAACAGAGAATCAAGGCAATCCCTATCTGTGAGATTATGCCCAGCCATATAACTTTGTTCCTGTTAAGAGAAGACAGTACAAAAGGCATTAGTTCATTTGTGCATCTGAATGCCTTATTAATACAAGCAGTAGATTTCTCATTCTTCCTCTCTTGTAGTATGCACAAGATGTGCAAGTCATGTGCGACATACCAGATGCCAAGTTCATGAACCCAAGAGTATGGTACCAAGTGCAAGACAGCTTAGGTGCATGACCTGCGCATTCTCCAGTTTTATTTTGTTTGATATCTCATTTAACGGTAGAACGTGCCATAACCACCAACCTGAAAAGCCCTTGCTGGAAAATGGAATTCCGTCTTGTTTTCCTGATGATCAGATCTGCCACTTGCTGAATAGTGATGCTGACAAAAAAGGCTGTGTAGCCATGGTACTGCAGGTTTCGCCGCTGCTCAAAAGTCTGCAGAAGAAGAGTAAAGGGGCAGTGAGCCAGTTTTAGGGCAAGAGTGTGCAATGGGTGATGTACATGTTGATACACATAACCCTCAAGTCATGTGTGATGACCTGCTAGGCTCACCTATAAATAAAATGACCACATATATTCAGCTAGTGATGGCTATTGCTTGCTTGATGAATCCCAGGTTATACGGATTACTTTTCATCTTTTAAATATAAATGACACTACACCAAGTCACTAAAGTTGTCCCTGAATATCAGGGATGGAGAAAAGTGTGGGAGTCTACATTCTGTGGTGACCCTTCAAAGAGTAATTCCCATTGCTCATTATCCCTGGATCTGTTAGCTGGGGCTGATGGTAGTCCAATAATATCTAGAGAGCCCTATTCACCCCATCCCTGTTGTGTGTAAATGAAGGTTCCGCTAACGCAACAAGGACCAGAAACTGGACTGTTGCTGTTTTTCATTGGTGCATATGAGAAAGGTGAACATGTTCGTATGTGTCATGCAACCCTAATTTGGTGGCCGATACTGGAGGTCCCTTCAGTGCTCCATTTTATTAATACATGTGCCAACTTTGTGATGGCTGTTGTTATAGCACGAGAGAAATCAGAAATCTTGTAACATCTTCAAGACTAAGTAGTTTTTATTTTTCATTATTTTGGGGTGTCCAAATACTTCCTGGACATACAAAACCTTATGAAATATTAAAACTAGTTACTATTAAAAATGCTACATGACTTCAGATTTCTCTTGGATTTTATAAGAATGTATCTCTAAACAGATTAAGCTTATTATTGTGTGATTGCTATGAAGCATTGATAGTCTGTTTTTCAATCCCATCAGATGCAGAGGTAAAACCATTCCACGCCTGATGGATTTTAAAGATCTGCTTCACACAACTGAGAGTTAAGGTAATGGCCGGCAACCCTTTGCTTGTGGATTGATCTGCTCTGTTTATGATACTAATTATTGCAGCTTCTGGAGTCAGCATCCCTTTGCTTGTGCATTGATGTGCTCTGTTTATAAGATGATACTAATTATTGCAGCTTCTGGAGTCATATTGGTAGGAAAGCAACCAACCGATGTTTTATAGCTTACGTTGGGAGGTCTCTGAAGATTAAATTTTGAAAAGGAAGAAAAAGAAGCCATCTTTTGCTTTGGCCTTGTACAAATGGATTTAATTGCCAGCATTTTGTCTTCCCAGATATGACAATAATTATCCTGTAATAATGATAAATAGTGCTTGAAGTGAGGGAAATTTTAAGAAACTGTACCCATTCTTGTCCATAGCTGTCTGGCAAGTCATCAATCGATGTATTTTCCCATTCTGTTCGGATGTTGAGGAGTGAATGAGGGAGCCAGCCTTGCTCAGCATAAACAGTAAAATAGGTCAGAAAGGCTCCAATTGTCTGTATAATGCCTGTAAAAGAGAAGAAGTGAGGTTGTGTGTAGAGCAGAGACATGAACTGATAAAAATTAACAGTTGAACAACTGTTACTTAGACTTTACTTTTGCATCCAATGACTAGAGCATATGGAGTACTCATGGAGGACTAGAGGCCATATCTCATGTTAGCCATAAACTGACTGAAATAACTCCCAGCGACCACTTGCATAAAGTAACCCATCATACCAATTTGTAAGTAGGAGTATACTGCAAGCTCTTGGTTGACTAGCCGGTCCCTTTTCTTATGCCGCGGCTTCCTTTTCATGATATCACTTTCGGCTTTTTCATAAGCCAATGCAACTGAAGGGATCTGTAACAGAAAGATAATACAAGTTTCCCATCAGCATGATGCAAGCCTATTTGTTTACTTGCTTCCATGCTTGCTTGTCTATCTTGACAGAAAGATGCTAGTGCTGCCAGGAAAGTGTAGCCCTGAGAGTCTAACAGACAGATTAAATTAAATAAAAACATGTTAAAATGCGTTAAAGGAAAATTTTTTTGCAAGGTTTCCAATGACTTGTTCAAAAGCAAGAACAGGAAAGATGGCAAGTCATTGATTATGGATTTTCATTATGCAAATCATGGTTGAAGGTGCAGCACAAGCTGGCTTTTGTTAAGCTGGCTTTCTCTTCTCAAAGATAAGAACTCACAATGTCTGTCCCCAGGTCAATGAAGAGGATAGTGATTGTCCCAATAGGCAAAGGGATGCTGGCAATAATGTAAATCAGGAAAGGACACAGCTCCGCAATATTTTTGGTCAAAGTGTAGGCAATGGTTTTCTTCAGGTTGTCAAAGATCAAGCGACCTGTGGAAGACAAATAGAAGATGAATGTAAAATGAACGTATAATGATAAATGTATAATATGTAATGAACAGATGGCATTAGGAAGTGAGAGGAATACATTTATCTTAAAGTGGCAGGCCAGATTCCAAAATCTGCAGAAGAAGGCTTTTATACAAATGAAAGACTATTTACTTATTTTTTAAAATCCCCCTAAGGAAGCTGGGTTGTTAGTGTTTGAAAATATTGCAGTAGAAGCTGAGATTGGTTGCATGCTCTGACTGGTGGGTCACCCGATGCAGGGGTCTGTTCCCCATTCTGCACCAATAACAGACCACTGCTGTGGTATTTTCACTTGCCCACAATTCATCTTCAATAATTTTTCAAATGATGTCTGTGTTGTATTTTAGTGATCACAACATGCAGGCCAGGGAGTCTCTTCTGGGTCCACAAACAATTGGAATGGAAATGTGGGGGTGGGGATGGTATAGGAAAATTCCCTCTAAGAGCAATTCCTTTCCATGGGCAGTGAACAGATAACATATTTGCATATATTATCTTCTCCATATATGCAAAACTTCAAGGGCATCCAGATTTTGTCAGCCAGCAAGAAGAGCACATGGCACCTGTCTCCCAAAACATGACTATTTCAAACACGAGGAAGGGCCTCGTCTTACCTTCCTCCACTCCTGTGACAATAGAAGCAAAATTGTCATCCAGCAAGATCATATCTGCTGCATTCTTAGCTGCATCTGATCCAGCGATGCCCATTGCAATTCCTATATCAGCTTTCTTCAGAGCTGGGGAATCATTGACGCCATCGCCAGTCACTGCAACAACTGCTTGCTGGGGAACAGAAGAGCGAAAGATGATGAAAAACCATGACCACCGCTTTTCCCTAGTCTGAGTGCTCTTACTTTGTGTTCCTAGGCAGCGATTCTGAATAGTAATTGCGTTGTTTCAAAGCAAATATGGAAGATGTTGGGTAGGCAAGCTCAGGAGGCACAGCGAAGGTCAGCTAAAATTTCAACTCACTGCAGGAGAAACTCTGACCTTGTCTCTTATTTTTGCCTGAAGGGATCTATGTTACTTTCTGGAATGAAACCAGATCTTCTAAGTGGAAAAAAACGCAAACGTCTTGTTCTGCTTTGTTATGTAGGTATCTCTATGGGATCAGACCACATTTCTCCCATTAGCCTTGGGGATGGCCGATATTTTCAGATAACCAACTGCTATTTGAACTAGGCAGGACACAAGTTTTAGAACCAGGAATTTTAGATAACCAAGAACTGGCTAATCAAGGTTTTGCAGTATTTAGGGACCCCCTTTTAAAAAAAGTTTTAATCTGAGATGGAAATATTATGTGGCATTTGTTTCTTGCTAGCATGATTGCATTTATACAAGGAGCTGATTTGTCAAATCTGTAGCTGTTCAGTGACATTCATGTAAATATTTGCCTATTAGGAAAGGTCAAAATGTCTAAGTGTAAGGGATTTTAGGGTATTGTGAGCTAAATTAAGCAGAGAGAAAATCCAGAAAACCTGATTAGGGCAAATACTCTGTATCTTGTTCTTGGAGGATTTAGTGCATTGAGACTGGTTATAAATAACACTGTGCCGAACAGCTTATAGGCTCTAATTGCTAAATATAGGCTGTAAATAGCACGCTTTTCCCCCCCCCCCTTAATTCTATGTCCTTCAGAAGGCTAAATATTACTAAGATGTCACAGAGGTAAAACAGTAGAAAATGATCCATTTAAACAGAGTGGGTAAAATCCACTGAAATCTTTTTGTTTCTTATAAGAAACATTTTGTTTCTACAAGATTAAAACTGGAGATCTGATTGAATAACATGAGACAGATAAATCTATTCTTTCCTCTTGGCAGTATTTTTTAAGAGGTTCCAGATGTTTTCTCTTGAGGTTGACAGTGGTCCAGCCTGCTGCTACTGTTGTTACTAAATATATACATGTTTTGCTCCTATAAGTGTCTTACCTGTCTTTGGCAACCCTCCACTATGATCAGTTTCTGTTGTGGTGACGTGCGAGCAAATACTATTTCTGAATGGTTGACCAGGATGTCATCCAGCTGTTCTGAGGTCATATCTTTCAGCTCCATTCCATTAACTACAGCAGCTCTGGCCTCCCTGAAAAACCCATAGGGAATCACAATTAAATATTTGTATTTCATAGTTTGGAAGTATATCTACATGTCTTATGAAATGGTGTATTGGTTAACAAAGGGAGTTTCTTTTTCCAGTTTAAATTTGCATGGAGATGTTGAAGCAGAGAGCATAAAAAGAAAACTCAATATTTGCTATTATGAAATAAAACAGAGTGCCACAGAAGTGGGCTGGGAGCATTTTAGTGGAGGATCAATCCTGCTAAGTCATAGGATCAACCGCATTAATTAATTAATTTGATTTGTATCAAATTAATTTGATAATTAATTAATTTGATTTGTATCCCGCCTATCTGGACCAACGGCCCACTCTAGGAGCAGCACATTAAGAAGAAGGGGTTGACATTTTTGGAGCCGCGTGTTGTCCTTACCTCTTGTTCACCTGCTCGACTGGAATGTTGAGTCGCTTAGCAATGTCTTCCACTGTCTCACTGGTGGCTGAAATGATGCCTACACTTTTAGCAATGGCTTTGGCCGTGATTGGATGGTCACCTGTCACCATGATCACCTACAGAAAGGAGTATTCCGGATGAATGACGAGAAGAAGCCAAATTAAAGATACCACTCACAGTATTTATTTTAGCCATTGACAGGTTATCTGGTTATTAAGAGGTACTTAGGTTTACAAAGCTTGCAGTCAGTAATCAGCTGGTCTTTAGGAAGTAATTTTTTGAGATAGAAACCTGAATGGTAGTTGTACAGATTTTGGATGAATATTTGTTTGCAAAGATTAAAAGGTTTGACAGTGTCATTTTGTTTAACAACCCCCCAATTAGTTATTTGTTCATTTATTTTGTGTAGAATCAGCACTGACCTATCTTTACTGTTCAAATGTTTGTTTCTGTATTTTACACAGTAATAAAGAGGTAGGGAAGCAGCCAGTCTGGAGCAAAATATATGGAATCACTGCTCCTTATCAAGACAGAACAAATGGATTAGAGGGGTTGAGTGGGTGTTGGGAATTTTACCTTGATCCCAGCACTTCGGCATTTGATGACAGCATCTGGCACAGTGGATCGAGGGGGGTCAATCAATGACATGAGGCCCACAAAGCAAAGATTGGAAGTAGGGAAATTCATGGTGTCAGTATTAAATTGGTAGGTTTCTGGAAATTCTTCCTCTGGCAAATACAGGTGACAAAAACCTAGAATTCAAAACAAAACAAAACAGAAGACTTCAAAAGATGAAGGAAGGAAGAATATTTGTATATCATGATAACGGCTATGTTTTATTGAATAGACATTCTCCAAAGTATATTACTTAATATTTCTGTCTCTATCTAACTGAAGTCATGTTAACAGATATCAAAAAGGGATAGCTAGAACTGGGTTTAATATTTATTGTTGTGATATATTAAAATAAAGGGAATTAAATCATAGAATCATAGAATAATAGAGTTGGAAGGAACCTCTAAAGCTACTGAGTCCAACCTCTTGCTCAATGCAGGAATCCATAATGAGATGTTGGAATTTTTTTTAACGTGCTCCTCTTGCATTATTTCAGTACAACAACCCCAGCTAGTTAAGATCTTGGTCTTATCTTGCCTTTAGTCATAATTCACCCAGAGCAGCTAACAACTTGCCTCCCACAAAAAGTTGAAGTGATATTTCCATACTGTAGATTTGATTGAGGCTGAGAGAGTAATGGCTAATAGTGGTTAGGTCACAGCAGTGTGAAGATTGGAACAGAAACCTCATGACTCAGTCTTAATTACTGTAGTATGAGTCAAGTAACTAAGGAGAAGGCTGATCAACTCAGTTTATCTTTCTGTCTTCTACTTTAGCCCATGTTATAAATAAATGCCACTCAAGTGGGAAGGCCAAGCTAATCAGTTTGTTACTAGGATGCTTTGCTCTCCATGTATATTCTTTGGAGCTCACCAAGTACTCTCTCTCCCATGCCTCCCAGAGCCATATAAGCTGTTTGGAAAGCCTCTGCTTTCTCCTCATCTAGTGGCTCCTCTTTTCCGTTCATCATCATGGTGCTGCACCTCTCCAGAATCTTTTCAGGGGCACCTTTCATCACCAGCAGGAAACGTTTATCATTGGGGTCATCATTCTCATGGATGGAGAGCTGTATGAAGTAAAGATGCAACAGTTGAAACACTTTGTCAGGTTGCTTTGCAAATCAAATCCTTCCTGTTAAATTGGCACTCTGGGAGTCAAAGAAAATAAAATGGGCCATGCAGATCCAGACAACTTCATTTAGTTGTTCATTAATTTACTTTATTTCCATCCCACCTTTCATTAAAAAAAATTTTTTTTAAAGGACAAAAGGTGGCTGACAGAATCAAACTGGCCATCAGAGACTAATCTTTGGCAACCTTCCTAAGATATAAATATATCTTTATGATACTATTTAGTAGGCTATAAATCATATTTGTTGCTGATTTGCAGTGATGCTTATGATCAAGGTGGGTGACATGTCTTTAGCTTGAGCACTGGACCAAATTAATCATTCTTAGAGATTTATCCACTGAAATCAGAGACTTAAGAGACCCTCCAAACAATGGTATTGCCTCCAGTCATTCTGGGGTGGTTCTGAGTTGTTATTTAATAGATCACCTTGGTGTTTACAGTATATCCACACATGGGGAGGGTGTTTATTGCTAGATGTGCTACCTGTTCACAGAGATCTGGAATAGCTCTCTGATGTTCCTCTCTCAACAGAGTGCCCTCCGCTTTTGCTGATCTTCTTCATCCTCTCTTTGCTGACTTCACTCTCTCATCTCTTGTTTTACTCATTTGTGGGGCATGGGGGTGCAAGCTGACAAAGAGCTCACAAGGAAACATCATCTAATGAAACACACCCCTACAGCATGCTGATTAGTGGAGAGAGAAAAGCAGTTGTAGGTTCTGCATGAGCAGATCCTGTGCTGGAGCTAATTAGAACAACGCAGAACAAATCAGAAAGCAAGAAACTGGCAGAAATTTCAGACCTCCATGGTCTGGATATTGGGATACAATTGCAGTGTTGGATTCAAGAAAAGTTGGGCAAATATTTAGTTTGGGCTGGTTCTAAGTTAGGGCTTGTCCTAAACAATTAGGCTTTTGTTTTCCTTCACACTTTGTGCCAGTTGATGCCACTTAAGTGCAGATCTGACTAAGATTTTGGTCAACACCACTTCATGTCTCTCTTAAGAAATCAGCATTTCTTACAGAAATGTATCCAAAAGCTTTTGGTTCTTTTGCAAGTGGTTCTTTTCTTCACAGGCACTGAGCTAACTCTTCAGAGTCTTCTTTCCAATGATTTATTTTTAATTGATAATTCTCTTCCATTAGCGTGTAATTTTTAACTTTATAGCTCATGTGACATTTCTCTTCATACCTATCAGCCCCTTCTAAGAAATCAAACTTACCTGAAACTTATTAGTAGAATTAAAGGGAATCTCAGCCACTTTCTTATGTCTTTTCCGAATATCCATCACATCACCCAGAGCAACTTCAGAGAACTTCAGCAGAGCTGTTTCTGAGGCATCCCCTACCACAATTCGCTGTGGACATTTTTTAAAACATTGTATCAAAGGGCCAGATATTAAATCTCTTTGCATTATACAGTTTACTTTATTCATTATAAGTGTTACAGCAGAGTAGCATCAGATTCTCTCAAACTTTTCATGAGATAAATGACAGTCATGCTTTTATGGGAGCTTTCATTCCGGGAAATAAGTGGCTAGAATGAATGCTAATATTTTTGTCCAAGTAAAATAATGTTTAATGTCTTTGTATCTGACTACAGTTATTTGCATGGAGAAGACTAAGAGTTGGTAAAAAAAATTTAAACTAACATTTTGGATTGCCATGCTCTATTAGATCATAATTTCATAGAAACACATTGTCAGAGAACTCTCACTTTCATTGTTTGATTACAGTGGCCATTAACTGGTATTCTAAGTGAGAAATGCAGTGGATTCTACTTTTGAAATTCCATGTAGAAAATGACAGTGTAGTGTAATATATTTAATGTAATCCAATAGTTTCTGGGATAGCTTCTAAGTAGCTGTCTTCTTTTTCTAGAGTACACTAGCCCAGTAAAAGCGTTGTCATACACCCTTCTACCATTTTAGTAGGAAATGAATTGTTAGCTATTTTAAAATGCAATTTCTGTTTCTAAATAGAAATCACAGTTGGGAAGATCACACCAATAATCACCTTGGGAAAGAATCTAGTGTAAAGTAATTGATACCTTCATGATTGGCAAATTGTCCTGTCCTGATCTGAATTCTGCCCGATTACACAGAGCTACAATCTTTGACAGTGCCGACCAAGTCTCAGATGTCTGGTCAAAAGTCTGGGCTGGGAAAAAAAATAGAGAAAGTGTATTTTAGATAATAATTCTCTTCCATAATGAAAGAGGAAACATGGGCTATGATTTCGCCTCCCACCCCGCAGCCTCTGTACTAATTATTTACTTGTCTGATCTTCACTGGTGTCAGCTGAGTAGATGGCATGATCAAACCAAAGATGGGCTACCGTCATCCTGTTCTGTGTAAGGGTTCCGGTTTTGTCAGAGCAGATGATAGATGTAGAGCCCAGTGTCTCCACAGCTTCTAGATTCTTCACCAGGCAGTTCTTTTTGGCCATTCTCTTTGCCGTCAAAGACAAACTCACCTAACAGGTTTAGGGAAAAACATGCATCCTTCAACACTTAGACTGTAGTGAAGAATTGTCCAGTTCATAGGTAGACATTTCAGTTCAAACAACACTGGAGTCACCAGAAATACTAATTTATTTGTATTTATTTTTATTTATTATTGGATTTATGAAACATGCATCCTTCAGCACTTAGACTGTAGTGAAGAATTGTCCAATTCATAGGTAGACATTTCAATTCAAACAACACTGGTGTCACCAGAAATACTAAAGATTTAGGACAATGTTCAAAATCTAGATTTTATTTTGCAAACATTTGCCTATATGCTCATGTAATCGTATGGTCCTAGGTAAAGAATAAAAATTCTAGACTGGGGTTGGGTATGATTTAGCCCTCTAGAGATTAGGGTGCAACTCTCATCAGAACAGCATAAGGCAATCATGAGGAATACTGGGAGTTGTAATCCCAACAAGATCTTTGCCGATGGCTCTTTTTAGAGAAATTGTCTCAAAAGGTATCCCTTTTAAAATACAATTCACAATTAGTATGGTGCCTCAGTGCCAGAACAAAGAATAAAGATATTCAAAATTGCTTACATATCAGTTATAGTAATTCAAAATAGTGATAAGACAAATAAATTTAAAATCTTGACAGGAATGTGTGACCAAGAGAGTAGAGAGAGTTTATCCAGCAGTTCTCAAACCACACACATCCAGCAGTGCTAAGTTGCCCCTTAGTAGTTTTGCCATTTCTTTTAAGAATATGCTGGAGATGTGGAGGGCCTGTGCCATAATGTTTAGCACACTCTGTCATGTAGCCCCAATGATGTGAATTTTTTTAAATGCGTTCATGCCCAGAGTTGCACAGTGTTATATCAGCAGCTGTTGTAAACCAGTGCCTACTTACCGTAACTGTAGCTAGCAGCCCCTCAGGCACATTGGCCACAATAATGCCAATGAGAAAGATAATGGAGTCCAGAACGTGGTAGTGCATAGAGACAGCAATGATGAAGAAAAGCACCCCTATGGAGATAGCTACTCCAGCCACAATGTGGACAAAATGCTCAATCTCAAGGGCAATGGGTGTCTTCTCATTCCCAACGCCAGAAGCCAGTGAAGCGATCCTTCCGATTATGGTGTTGTCCCCTGTGTTGATTACTATACCAGTACCAGTTCCTGCAGAGAGGAGGAGGAGGAGAAAGACAACATTTTAATGCATTTTTCACATTTCAGAACTTTTTTTTGTGGGGGGGGAATGTTAACGTCACTACTGACAGCAAGGAGTGTTCATCTTTTTACTTTTATGCAGGAATGAAACATCACAAATCTGTTCCTATTCTTTTTTCTGAGTATGAGAAAAATCAGGCATGGGTGTTTCCATCCTTAGCATGTTTACAGATCCATACGTACCTTCCAAGCACGTTGTTGAATAGAAAGCAATATTTTTGGTCTCCAGGGGGTTTTCGTGAGTGAATTCACAAGACCGGGCCTGTGGCTCTGACTCCCCAGTGAGGGAAGAGTTATCCACCTGTTGATCAAAGACAAATCCTCATATTAGATTGGGGGTCATTATGCATGCTCATCAACTTTCTACAATATATTGTGTGTGTCTGGGGGGTCTTGAACAGAGTTTTATACAGCAGTAGAGCACGCCAGGAGGGCCTGGCGTGCTCTGGTCCATGGGGTCATGAAGAGTCGGACACGATTAAACAACAACAAGAGTAATTGTGGTGATGGCTTGTGGTTAAGCAAAAAATAATACAATTTGAATTCAGAACTGCACAGGACACTTGTGACCACTTGGTTTAGTTAGGACAGTTGTGTTTTGTCGTGGAGAGACTAGAGATTACTTAACAGGTTTCTGTCCTGTAGTGGCAGGGTGAAGTGATTAAATGAAGGGAATATCTTTGTGAGAATACTGCCTCGTGGCATCCTAAAACAACTGTGCAAACAGTTCAAAAAGGAAGATGACCTACAGTGTGCTGATTATTGTTACAAAATTATCAAGAACTCTGTGAACATTTTGATATGCAATTTACTCTTTTATATTCATCAAAGGCTACTTAAAGCTCAATTTTCTTTTCTGGAGAACAAAAACTGCTATGGGAAGAAGACTAGTTTTTTGTATATGTCCAGTAGAAGTGTCTATTTTGAGACATGTTTTCATGTGAGTGTTGAGTTAACCTTTCTTTGATTATATGACTAGGCATCTTTATTGTCTTCAGAAAGACGTTGAGTTCTGTAGGCTATGATTTTTTGTTTCCCCTTTGGTCAGTGCTGATCCCACCCACCTAGCCACCCACACTTTTTACCTTACAGCCTTGGCTGGCGATAAGTCGTATGTCAGCTGGAATTCTGTCTCCACCTTTGATTTCAACAATGTCACCCACCACAAGTTGGTCAGCTGGGATTTCTTTTTTCTCTGCATCTCTGAGGACAAGCGCTTGCTAGTGAAAAACAACAACACAGATAAGGGTTAGTTAAAGTATTAGTTTTATTACTGTATACATTGGACAAAGAGCTGGAACATCTTGAATGAACTGAGCTGGCCAGCCTTTCTGCAATTTTCTTGCAAGTCGGTATGCTATTTAGAGTGATGACACCACATGCATACGGTTATATTGTAGAAATGCAGAGGGCAAGCATCTAGGCAGATGGTACCTATGACTGCAATGACTGTTGAATAAAACTTCTTTCTTCTGTACCATAAAGGAGAAGACCTTCAAATAACCTTAAAGTAGTGACATAGTTTTTCAAAGTAGTAGTATACTGTTCCTTGAAACTCACCTGCGGAATCATTTTACTGAAGCTGGCCATTATGTTTGTGCTTTTTGCCTCTTGATAATAAGCAAACATTCCAGTAAGGATCACGACGAGTGCCAGGACCACACCCAAGTAAAGCTAAATGACAAACAAATTACCCAAGTTAGGTTTAAGAACCACAAATACATGATGGAAACACAGAACTGATACTTTTCTGGGCACAGTTTACAAACAGTGCCAAAATAACAGACACATGAGAGTTTGTGGATGAATCACAGGCAAGCTGCTGTAATTCAGTGAGAAATACCAGTGTGATTTTTCTTCTTAATCTCTGTGATGACTTTTCATCTGTAAGGCACCAGAGAGAAATGCAGAAACCATAATTAAAAATAAAACAGTACTTACATTGTCAAATGCCGATGTAACTTGCTGGGCATATTGAATTCCAAAGGCAATCCAGCAGAGGATCGCTCCAACCCACAGAAGGATGGAAAACCCTCCTACCATCTGCTTTAGAAATTTGATTATTTCAGGGGTTGATTTGGGGGGCGTTAGGCAGTTGGGACCATCTCGGGCCAGAATCTCTGCTGCCCTTGTAGATGTAAGACCCTGTAAGAGGCAAAGGACAGCATAGTCTGTGTTCAGAAGTGAATGTTCAATCCCATGATTCAAGGTACATTGCCACAACTGAGTTTATCTAAATTTTTGAAAGTTAGCTGAACTGCTGGCATACCATAGCTTGAATACTATGAACTTGAAACAGCAAAGAAGCACTACGTTGCCAGTTGACCCATCTTAGATGAAATGGATTTTAGTATGAATTTAATATGACTGCCCAGTAATAAATGTTTACTCCCTCTCACCCATGTTAACTTACTTTAATGATACTTGTGCCATATTTTTCTTCCAGTTCTTGGATGCTGAGTTTATGATCATCCTAAAGCAGTAAGGAAAACACAGTTCTTGGGTTATAAAAATGACATGCCTTATCCAAAATGCTCTGATAGCCTCTGTAATGGTACCATGGTATAGTTGAGCATGGGTGGCAAAGTCTGTCCATGTAACGAATTTCCACAATCACAATCTTATTAAAATTCTTTAGCCTATTGAAAAGTTCTTCTACAATTGCCCAGACAGAAATCTTCAGATGCATGTTGAATTTTGCTTCTGGCAAAATTCCAAGATGATTAGCTATAACACTTGCTCAATATGAGATAGTTAGCATCTCATATATCCCTGAGTTTGAGATATGCCAAGAACAGAACAATAATTGCTGATCCTATGCAGTAAATATTTATTAACCTTTTTGAACCTATTAACTTAAAAGATGTGGATATATTTAACATTGCAGTGGGAATGTGGCACGCATTAAAACATTTACAATAGAAAGACATTGAATTAATCATGAAGAGTAAAGGGAACACAGCAAATTAGCTAGTCTAAGATTCCGTCATGTTCAGTCACGTCATAATCAGTTTCTTGTACAACCTTTTCATGGAGAGCAACAAGTAAGGTTTCACAGTTGACTTATTTAAGTTGAGCTCTGTGGGTTTTGTACAAAACAGAACATCACAAGGACTTTGTTTTCTAATTATTTTATTTGGGATTTAGCTTTGGGGAGGGATACTCAGTGCCAAACCACCATACATTATATCTCATATCTCATATCTAATCCTGATAATAAGGCATCTTGCTGAGGTGAACTCAAAAAAATCTCTGTAGAGGTACCACTGGATATGGTCATATCCACTTTTATATTCCCTCTCCCCCCATCTGAGAGTGGCTAGGACACACTACTAGGTCACACTGCCAAGTCCATTTCTGGCAAAAAGCTACTGGATTTCCATTTTCTCATTAAGTGTTCCACTTTGACAATTTGACCATTAGTTGAATTTATGGGGCACATGGTTGGTGAATGAAATAAATTAGTGTAACTCCTGCAGTGCATTTAAGATGGAAATCACAGCAGGATGAGACGGTTTTCAGGGGTACATGTCTTCCTTGTTCAAATTAGCAACCCCTGTTGGTTTCAGATGATGATAATAAAAAAAGATACCAGAATGTTAACAGCTGTTTGGTTGTTATTATCTTCAGTGCAATGTGCAATTAGATGCACGTAAGCATCCAAACAGACACAGCCTCGAAAACAATGCATTCAGTATACAATGCCACAAAATTTTGCACAAGTCTGTACTTGCAGTAGGAATCATAATAATATTGGAACTTTATTTTAATTGACGTGCCAGGAACTACCTGTCAGAGAATGAGTCATGCATGTTTCATACAATTTAGTATGGCGTAATCTTCTGGCAGCATGCAGGATTTGAACCATTACTATAAAAGTTGAGAGAGAGCAGAAAAGAGGAACTGACATCTCTTTAGTCTTTCTTACACTTGCATCCAAATGGTACAGTCCACCTGAGAATATTTTGGGTGTAGCTCAGCAGACAGATTTGGCACGAAGGAAGGAGAAATTGGAGAGCATGCTGATAATTTGTTCTTCATAGTAAGGTAAAGGGAAGCTCTAAAAGCTTTTCCAAGTCTTATTGGAAATTTCCCCTGAAAGCTGGAGTGAAGTTTCCAATGAAATTAAAAGAGGCTAATGATAATATTTGCCTACCTAATTTGAAATCTAACTTGCCAGTCTTCAGAAAATCTTCTGAAAGCCAAAGAATGTAGCAGGAATACTGTGGTAGTACAAAGTAGACTTGAAATACTCTAGCACAACAATCACTATCGGCTTGTTGGGGCAAGAGTCATCTAAAAATAAACAATTTCCTATGATGTATTAAAAATACGGATTGCAGGCTGTCTCAGAAGTTAAAGGGAAATTACAGGTGAGAACATCTGACTCATTCTATGTACCTAGCTCTTGGCCAGGATTAATTAATATGGAAGTTTGCATTGTTACAATCTTTGTATTCCCTGAGGAACTTACCAGATCCAACTCTTTCTTGAGGTCTTCAGTTTTCTTGCCCTTTTTCTTGTTTCCTTTCTCATCATTGTGCTTTTCCTTTTCATTTATTTTGCCAGTGTCATCCAGATCCTTTATTCCATGGATCTCCACTGAATATATATCAGACTTTTCCTGAAATGCAAACAAGTAAAGACATTACGTTGGCTGCTTCCATTATCCCATTGATTTGTTTGCTCTAAGTCATTTATAGTCATTTCTTAAGAAGAAGGTGGAGGAGACAGTGAAAATATTCCAGATGGGCAATTTCTCCTAAAAACTGAGATGTGCTTTCTTGGCTTTGCTTAACTTTCTCTCTCTCTCTTTTTTTCTAATTTGTCATGCAGAGTTTGTAAATTTAGTTCTGGAAGTGTGGCGTGCAGTTTTCTGAAGCCTCAATTTCTTTCTCTGTTGCTAGCCTTTTCCTTCTTCACTCTATTAATATGTTTTATGAGTAACATCTTACAATTAAATGAGTCTGCAAAGCACTAAATATATCAAGATTGCTTTCAGCACTTTAGTATGTGTACATTGTTGAAATACAGTATAATGGATGAAGATAAGAATGATATACAGCAATCTCTGCAATTTAGAAGTCGAAGCAACGATGGTCTTCTTGTGGCACTAGCATTGATTTGCAAAGAAGGCCAGGTAAATTGAAACCTTATTCCAAAGTGAATTTTAGATTGGCAGAACTTTGTAAACATTCCATGTTGAAAACTTCAAGATTACTGGTGGTGGTGTGACTACTTCCAGTGAGCTAACTAGAATTGTTACATGTCATCTTTTGTCATGCCCGGGCGCTTTTTCTCCTTGTTTTGCAAAAACTGCACACGTCATGATGCCATGATTACATCAAGAATGCTTTTCATGTTACGATGAATCATCGCTTTATGACTGAATCATGACAAGGCCAAGAAACAAAATGAGTAGGATGGCAGAATACCAACACACGAGATCAGCGAATTTGGAACCCCAAATTCTATCAGCAATTCAGATAAGATTTTTAAAGACAACTTGGTGTAAAATATTAACTATATGTTCAACAATATAGTTACCAGGGGCATAATATGTCTAAAGATTGGTAGCACCTCTGCCTGAAAGGAGGTGTGTTGAAAGTCAGCTCTTTTGAATATACATGTGTCTGCACTGCAGAAGCTGAATAAATTGGTGCACATTCAAAATACCAGTCCCTATCCAAGTTGTAAGTGCCAAAGGTATTTTGCATACTATATCTTCCCTTTCCCCCCCAAAAAAGTGCAAAAAGTCAATTCGAATGAATGTTCCGGTTTACTTCTGGTGTAAAAATATCTATGGAAAGCATTGTATAGCATTGTATATACATTATGTCCAACCTCGAGAAGAAAATAGATTGAAAAAACCAATAATTGTTAATAATAATTCTGTGCTGTCAAGTCAGTTCTTACAAGAGCCCTTTTCAGGATTTTTTTTAGGTAAACAGTACTCAGAAGTGGTTTCACATTCCGTTCTTCCGGGGGCATCCTGGAATTATGCCGGTTGCCCAAGGCACAGAGACTAGCGCTTCTCCCTGGAGGCACAGGAGGGAATTGAACTCCCAACCTCTGGACTCACTGAGCTATCCAGCCAGTGCACTACATATTGCACACTGGCTGAAATACTATTGCACATTATACAAACAGTGTAACTTAGAAACGAATTAAGAAAGCTTTGGTTGCCTACTGAGTCATGTGACTTGACATGCAACAGGTAACGTCTAGATCTATTGACTTACAGCAATTCATGTGTGTTACATTGTGTGTGTAACACTAGAATGGGATTTCAGCCACTGTAGCAATATAGACATGAACTGGAGATGGGGAAACTGTTGAGATGCCAGGAGCTAAAAATGATGTTGGTTTTTGTGGCTAAGATTATTTTATTGTCAAATCTGTGCTAGCCTTGGGTGTTTGCTAACAAAGCAGCCATGTTATGAACCAATATATGTCACTCAACTTTATAATTAACGCAGCATAAGCAGGAAATGGGGTGCATTAACAACAACATCAATTCATAGTTGGAGTTGGCCCTCCCATTCCCCTTACTTTGAAACAATTGTTGTTCCCTGTTACCTCCTTCTTAAAATAGCTTCAGCTCTAAAGACAAGTTTCCTGTTTTATACGAGCACCTCCACTTTTATACACATAACTTTGTCGATCATAATTGACCTGTAAATTTCATGCCATTCTATAGAAAGACCAGCCACTGAATGACCCCATTCCTTGCTGGATTCTCAGAGGGTTATATGATTGAGTTTGGAAGCATAATCATATTTGGTGATTGAAGATCAGGTGATGGTTGGCTCTTAGCACAGATTTGCTGGATTATCAGAGGGTTATATGATTGAGTTTAGAAGCATAATCATATTTGGTGATTGAAGGTGATGGTTGGCTCTTAGCACAGATTTCAGCTCTCAACATGCCTGCACAAAAATGCCTGGCAGGAACCTCACTTTTTGGAACAATAGCAAATTATGGATTAAATTGCTTTTTGCCAAAACCTGTGTGCTTTCTAAGTGGTTTATTCTGGTAGTTACATAACCTAATATATGGCAATTTCTTCCAAATACTGTAGCATCTTAAAAAATTCAGTTCGGTATTGGCACTCTAAGCGCCAACTGAAACACATGGATTCGTTTTCTCTCCTTTTCACATCAAAAACCATCTTATTTCTGCATTCGAAATATCCAGGTAATGGATGTTTCACCAAACCCACTTGACATTCTCTCATTTCTTTTCAGTATTAATTATAAATGTTACAGTTTTCCTACTCTTTCTGTACAATAAAGTCTGTCTACTCTTTGTAATTGGATGTCACTTCTGTGTGGTACAGCTTCTAGCAGCTAGTGAACAGACTCAAAGGTTGTAATTGTAAGGCTACTGAAGCTGCACAGAAATCACCTAATTAGTTATGGGCAACCACTGAGAGTTCCCATGTTTGTATAAATATTGCAAGCATGAGGAGGAAATATTTACTCTGTTAGATATTTGCATCTTCCTGCAATGACTACTGTATTCTGAATGCCACAACCCCATGTCTCTAAGTCAAGAAAGCATGCTGTTGTTTTCTTAAAACGTCAATACATTGAGAAAGACTAGCCATACTTCAGACAAATAGTTCCTGAAACATGACAGAATAAAGCTGTTGAATATTAGCTGTCTTAATTTCTGGTTTACTCACCTTTCCCATTGTAAACGCCTCTGTCCTTTGCAAAAAATAAAAATAAAAATTAAAAAAATTGTTTTCTTTGGTAGCCAAAAATTAAATGCACCACATCAAGGGGCTGGAGCAAAAAGTCAAAATGTAGACTCAAGGGACTACGAAGAATAGCCAAAATGGAATGGAAGCGCTCACAAGGCTTGTAGTCTCCCAGCAGGAGAGCCAATGTTAGCTAGAGTGTTCTCCAGATTTAGGCATCCTTCAGACTGGACAGGTTCATCCTCCAATGCCTGTAGGAAGTATGTGGTACTTGCTGGCCCTTATGAATCTTGGCAAGCCACACCTTCTTAACTGTCTTAGGCCAGCCCATCCTCTGCTTCACCATAAAGGAGGAGGAAGCATACCTCAGTAATGGGTATATGAGTTCCAGGTCAGAGTGTCTAATTATGCTTTGCAAAGTTTTTTTTCCCCACAGTTGGGAAATAAGGGCTGTTTAGCTCATCTTGATCAAGCCGCGAGCTTCTTTTGAGACTTTTGACTCCTTCTATTTAAAGAAGAAGAAGAAGAAGCAAGGACGTATATCCATTTGTTCCCACCACCTTCTTTTAGTGATATGTCAGCCTAAGGAAACAGCATTAAATGGGGATATTTTAAACTATAACTGTAACACATAATGAGTAGAGCTGTGATCAGATTACATGTGTGATATGTAGAACATGCTAGGTTCCTTTTGTCCTTCACAGCTCAAGAATTTACAAGGAAGAACAACTACAAGGTAGAGCTAGTGTTTTGGATGTTTGTGTTGTCGGCCACACAAGTGGAATAGCACCTGTTGAAGGAGAAAGATTTACTACTTCTTCTAAAGTTTAATGATTCTTATCAGAGATCAGAGGATGCCACATTTTTGAGAGTCCAAGCAAGCAAAAGCTTGTAAGGGAAGGAAATAGAAATCAGGTGAAAATGCCATGCAGGTTCACAACAGAGAACTTAACCTGAGAGAAGATTTCCATTATTTTATTTTTCCTTTTCTGCTCTGTAATAATCAGAAATGGTTTTCTTGTTGTTTCTACTGAGATTTTTATTACGCTGGGTTCCCATCTGTTGGGGTCTCAGAGTATTGTGTTCTTGCTTTGTTTTTTAATGTGGAACCCTTGTGCATCATGAGTTGTTTAACCTATACAAAGGGGTTGACTAAGGAGGTCCACAGAATAGAGAAAACACATCACTGTGACAGCAGGTAGTCCCTGCTTAGGGAAGCGGTGGGAGTAGCCTCTGCTGCCCTCAAGGAAGTGGCGGCATAATCATTCCTAGGGGGGCGGAGAATACTTCCTGATCCTGGAGGTTTATAACAACTGTTTCCTTTCAGGGCAAGGTGCTTGAAATATTCCTGGAGGATACAGATTATCTTGGCATGTTTCAGTCTGCGGTTTGGCCCACTTACCAGGCCTTGGTCATCCTGCTGAGTGACCTTTATTGGGAAAGAGTCAGAAGCCATGTGCCTCTGTTACGCCTACTCTGTCTTGAGGTGACTGTTGATACCCTTTTGAACACAGGGTCCTGTTGGATCATCTGTGGGCTGCGGAGACCTGTTTTGTAGTAATTCTGCTCCTGTCTACAGGGCTGATTCCAGATAATCGCATTAGGGCGCTGTGTGTCTTGCTGTGTAGGGCAAGGTTTCTGTGGAGTCCCCAATACTGTTTAACCTGTGTTTGCATCGACTGCCTGCAGTCATAAAACGTTTTAGGATTAGATGTCTTGAGTATGTTGATGACACCCTGCTCAGTTTTCTTTGTTATGTTGGAACCAAGAGGCCTGGATGGGTTTTTGGAGTGCAGTGGTGGTCTAAATGAGGACCAGTAAGTTGGACCTATTTGGAGAGAGACAGTGTAGGTGAGTTGTTTCTAGATTTGGGAATTGGGGAAAGGACCAGCTCCGAATAGAATTGCACTTTCTTAAAGAAACAGAACAGGTTTCTTTGGCAGAGCCAGGGTATGCTCCTGCATCCACTTTTTTCATTGAAGATCCAACTGACCTCGATGGTTAAGGTCATCTATTCCTGATTTATGCTAATATTTCTGAATGAGTTTATCCCTAGACAGAGTTCACCTGGCCACTGTGAATGATGTGCTACTGTAAAACTGGATCATTGTAGTGACATCTGTGCATCAACGTTCCCTCTAATTTTCTGCCGGTGCTGGGCGGGAGCCCTGCCCCATGCACACAGGGTTCCAGCTGCAACTGGAACCAAATGGGTGGCAACACTGGCTGCAGGTGCGTGGCACCAACGTAGCACTGCATGGCCAAACACCCACACAGTTCAGAGGAAACATTGCTGTGCAGGATTGTTACTTAGACTAGTTCAGAGGCTACAGATAGTGCAGAATACAGTAGTTACTGGCTGGATGCCTAACTGCACATATGTTGCACTTGTATTAAAGGATCTGCAGTTGCTGCCAGCTTGCTATACATCTAGTGCCAGGGTACCAAGTAAATTAAGGACTGTCTCAGATGCATCACAGACATCTTTAGAGGATTGGTTCTCCTAGACGCTGTCTGAGCTTTTGATTTTAAGTGCTCAGAGCCTGCCTCTATTTCATTTCAGGCAAAACACATTTCTTTACACAAACTTCCCCTCCCAAAAGTGTCTTGATTGTCTCTCCTCCCATCACCATCAGTCATACTTGCAGTGAAATAAACCCTGGAGTTCTGTTCGTTTAATTGACCTACACATGAAATAGTAGCATGCTGTCTGAGCTTTAATTGACCTACACATGAAATAGTAGCAGTTCAAAGAACTACTTAATTCATCGTTAATCGTTCAGAAAAGTATTTGGGATTTTGTTCTTCAGTATTTTATCTGGCAACCTAAATTTAATTTTGGAGGGCTGTATGACTACCACTTACAGTGTCAATGCTAACATGTACTTTGATCCTAATCCGGTAAAAGTGCCGCACATACAACTATAACAATACAAATCTCAAACAAAGAAACCATGTTACTTTTGGTGTCAATGCTGACGTGTACTTTGATCCTAATCCGGTAAAACTGCCGCACATATATAACAATACAAATCTCAAACAAAGAAACCATGTTTAAAGAAGCAAAATCATATCAGAATGTTAGCTACAGCTGACAATAGCAAATATATACTGGCATATGCAAAAGAAAAGATCGTTGAGTCCAGGCCCTGTCAAAGAGGCGTAGTGGGGAATTGAACTTACAATTTCTGGCTTCACAGCCAAAGACTTAAAACACTGAGCAAGAACTTAGACATGCACAGTCTCTTATTTTCTGCATGTACATATACCAAAATAAACACATCATCTTTACAAATAAGGTACATATAAATGATCTTAATGGTAGTGGGGAATTTAACTTACAACTTCTGGCTTCACAGCCAAAGACTTAAAACACTGAGCAAGAACTTAGACATGCACAGTCTCTTATTTTCTGCATGTACATAAACCAAAATAAACACATCATCTTTACAAATAAGGTACATATAAATGATCTTAATGTACAAAAACTTTGGTAAGGAGCTCTTCAGATGATGCTATTGAATTTGTTTATTTATTGTTGCCCATTGAATAAAGTGTTATCTGACACCTACTGATTTTGAAAGGGTAAGATTGAGTTAGACCTATATGATAATCAGCCAAAACCAAATTAAATGCAAAGTATGGATGGATGAATAACAGGAGGTTTTGCTTCCCAAAACCTCATTTACACTTCCGGATTTTTTTTCAGTGTGATTCATCTGGCACATAAATCCCTACCACAGATGTTGCAAGCAAAATCTATGGGCCGATGAATGAAGTTTGGCAAGACCTGTGTCTGATTAAGGTCCTCGGGGTCAGAGTTCTGCTGGAGCACAGCTCTTTCAGAAGTAACTAGACTAGCAAAATAATTTGTACAAAAATAATTGTCTAATCTGAAAAGGCCTTGTTTATTTAAACATGTGTGTCTCCCCCCATTCCTGGTCTAAAAGTCCTACAAGGGAACTACCAAATAATTGGAATCCTCATTACAAAAATAAGGAACAAAACACCAATTAGAAACACAACAGGATACTGATAAACTAATTGGTTTGCCAATACTTAAAGTATAAGAAACAGCAAACCTATGTAGTATCAGACTCAAAAAGGATCATAAGCTATCAGAAGAAACATTTCCTTGGCATTGACAATACTAGGGTGTATTGTAGTAACAGTGTTCTTACACTAATTTGTCTTATAAAAAGAAAAATAGTGGTGTTTATGTATGGTTATGATTTCATCTTATTGTCACAAACGCGACAAGGGCTAAAGAGGCTATTAAAAGCCGTTAATCAACTGGAAGTACAAGATAAATTCAAAATCAATCGCTGAAGGACTAAAGTACTAGTGTTTGCCAATAGGTTTAAAAACCATGCTTGGCAGATTGAGGGACATCCCCTAGAACAAGTGAAATCCTTTAAACATTTAGGACTAAGCGTTTCTTCAACTGGATCTTGGAAGCTTCACCTTGAAAAAAAGGGGGTGGAATGCCATCAATGCAGTCAACTCTCTACTAAGGTTTTATTGGGGCAGAGGTGGTAGACATAGCCCACCTGTCCTTAAAATTTATTAAGCTTAAGTTACATCACAGATTCATTATGGTATTTTGTCAGTTTCCTAAGAGGCTGGGCAGAGACTTAGTCATGCTAATTGAAATCAGAGAAACCTCAGTCAGAGGGCAATGGCTTGCTGACTAATTTCAGTGAGTCTACTTTAAGTAGGAATAAGTCTGGGTCCAACCCATAGTTGCCTTAGGTCCCTTTATCATGAGAAAGGCAGAATATATAATGAATGCCAATGAACGAATAAAGAAATACACGCTAAATATTTGTATGAGTTTGCTTCCTCGTCTCCCCAGTTTTGATGAACACTTTTAAAAATTTGGGATAGCATGCCGAACAGCACTTTTCAAAGAACTTTGGCAAGATATCACTGGAACTCATATTGTGTTACTGCTGAGCTGCCCTTTTCCAATCCCTTACGTATGCCTTGTC